TATATATATATATTACATATCATCAGTGGGGCTATACAAGTCCAACATCAGGTGTTCCAGATGTAATACTTTCTCCATCAAGTCGAACTTATGAACCGACATGGAAAGACCCATTATCTGCATGAAATTATTCACAAAGGTCCCAATTTAGGATCGGGCAATGGGAAAAAATATTATATACATCATAAAGTGGAGTGATACAATGTTGAGGATATGGAGCCCTGTGCACTTTCTCGTTTGAGAAATCATTAGTGTTAATTATGTGATTAATTAACTTCATAAATAATGTTTCCCGCTTCTTCCCTGAGCTTCGTGCCTCCCGTTGTTCTCTCTCCGCGGAACCGCAGAATTGCGGGAAAGATGCTCTCCGCGTAGATCTTTTAATGCATTTCCTTAAATGCATTTTTCCTGATCATTATAAAAGCTAAACAACTACCTTAAGCACATATCTCAGAAAAAAAAACCTCTCGCTTGCGGCTGAAGAAAAAAAGGAGCAGGTTCCTTCACCTTTTTGGCAGAAAAAGTTTTCTTTTTTTCTTTTGCTTTGCTTCTTAGCAGAAAAATGTTTCCTTTTTTTTCTTTGTTTTTGTTCTTTCTCATGTGACTTTAGAGAGAGAGAGAGGAGAGGGAGAGATAAAAGAAGATAGAGAGAAAAATTTTATTGTAATTGTCAAATCGACGACGACGTAATTTCCTCAAGGTAATAAATCCTCTGCAGCTCCGTGGACGTAGGCAAATTTGCCGAACCACGTAAATCTTGAGTCACCTTTTTTTCTGGTGTAATTTTCTCGATCTGGTTTTTTGTTTTATTACCGTCGTTTTTTTTCACAGCAATTGGTATCAGAGACAGGTTCGGATCTGAGGAAGAAAGATGACTGGAGACGAAGTGAATGTTTCAGGGATCGAGAAGTTCGACGGCACAGATTTTGGATACTGGAGGATGCAGATAGAGGATTACCTCTATGGGAAGAAACTTCATATTCCACTATTAGGAAAGCGACCGGAGAAGATGGAAGAGGCTGATTGGAATCTGTTGGATCGACAGGTTCTGGTGGTTATTCGATTAACCCTATCGAGGTCCGTTGCTCATAATGTCATAAAGGAGAGGACGACGGCAGATCTTGTGGCGTTCCTATCAAGTATGTATGAAAAGCCATCGGCGAATAACAAGGTGCACTTGATGAAAAAGTTATTCAACCTGAAGATGGCGGAAGGTGTGTTGGTTGTTCAACATTTGAATGATTTCAACACTATTACAAATCAATTATCGTGCATTGATATTATTGGTTTCACTGCCAAATACCTGGGAAGCCATGAGGATGACAATTAGCAACTCTGCAGATAAAACTAAACTGAAATATGATGATATTCGTGACTTGATTCTTGCTGAAGATGTGCACAGGAAAGATTCTGGCGAGATCTCGGGTTCAAGTTCAGCACTGAATGTTGATTCTAGAGGGAGATCACAAGACAGGAACTCAAACAGAGGAATGTCGAAATCAAAGCATAGAAACAAGAGCAAGTCAAAGCCTGGTCAGCAAGCAACCTGCTGGAATTGTGGCAAAACTGGCCACATAAAAAGGAACTGTAAAAATCCTAAGAAGACGAAGAACGTCAGTGCTAACGCTGTAACTGAAGAAGTGCATGATGCATTATTACTTGCAGTTCATAACTGTGTTGACGACTGGATACTAGACTCGGAGGGTTCTTTTTACACATCTTCTCACCGAGAGTTAATGAGAAACTATGTTTCAGGTGACTGTGGGAAAGTGTACCTGGCTGATGGAGCAGCTTTGAACGTGGTAGGGATGGGAGATGTTGAAATTACACTCTCTAACAGAACAAATGGATCTTGCAAAAGGTTAGACACATTCCTGAACTGAAAAAAGAACCTCATATATGTTGGGCAACTTGATGAGGGAGGTCATTCAGTATTGTTCTCTGATAACACCTGAAAGGTTACTAAAGGAGCATTGGTACTGGCTCGGGGCAAGAAGACTGGTATGTTATATATGACAATTGGTCTAATTAACAATGTTGATACCACAGTTGCAGAGAGCACAACAGACATGTGGCATTGCAGACTTGGACACATGAGTCAGAGAGATATGAAAGTGCTTTAGTCTAGAGGCAAGCTACCAGAACTGAAGTCTGTT